TGTCTATAAAATGTGAATTTTCGTCTCATCAAATATGAAAAAGAATATCATTTGAAGATATAGCAGAATACCACTTACATAGATCCCAAAGGTATTCATCACAAAACAACTAAAGTAACAAAAATATATTCAATATTATACTGATATCATAATTTAAATGGCCAAAACAAACTGAATTCTTCAAAACACAGAAATTATGAGGGTGAACAATCACGTAAAATTTGGCTATCAATCTTCGAGGTGCAGTGCTCTTTTGTCTTGAGAAATATGTGGCAGTCAATTACTTGTACTTTACATGCACATTTGTGTAATTTTTTCATAATTTTTCAATTGTAACTATTTTTCTCTTCAAACAAAATTTAAAAAGCTTAATATATTTGAAGAATACTAAAGACAGATAAACAGAAGCAGAGAGAAGGAAGGGAGAGAAAACAAAATAAAACAACTCAATGGCACATGAGACCACAAGTTAAAAGCACGTTGTGGGATTAGAGAAGATGGCAGATGAGAGGAAAGATGAAATTCTCAGCAGTTTCTTAGCACCTGTTTTAGTCAACTATTTCACTGCTGTGAGTAAAGGACCCAATCAGCACAATTGCATAGGGAGGAAAAGTTTATTTGTGGACTCAAAATTTCAGAGGTCTCACTCCATGGACAGCTGGCTCCATTCCTTGGGTTCACGATGAGGCAAGACATCATGGTGGAAGAGTGTGGAATAGGGAACCAGCTCACATGGTGATCAGAAAGCAGAGAAATTTCCCCACTTGCCAGATACAAATATATACCCCAAAGCTGCACCCCAATTCCCACCTCCTCTCCAGCCACACCCTACCACTTCAGTTACCACTCAGTTAATCCCTATGAGGGGATTAATTCGCTGATTGGTTAAGACTCAGAACCCAATCATTTCTACTTTGAACCTTCTTGCATTGTCTCACATGTGAGCTTTTGGAGACACCTCACATCTAATCCTTTACAGTACCACAAGTAAAAAGTGAAATGACTAATCCTCAGTGAGGTGAGTAACTAAAGGAACTCACAGAAATTCAATACTGGACAGCAAAAGAAAGCATAGAGACACAGAAAGTTGGAAACTTTGAACATAATAGATGAAATAATATGTTAGAGATGTGGCAGGTTGGCTGGCAGCAGTATGGCAGTCACAACTGCTGAAGAGCAGGCAGTGAGAGAATGGCTTTGGGAACCTGTAGAATAGAGAGAGAGAGAGAGATCTTAGTGTACTTAGAGTCAGTATGGGAAGCTGTTGAGTAAAAGGCAACCAAAATCACTTGTCCCACAGGTGGACAGTCTTGTGGGAACCAGGATCACTAGGAGTCCATTAAAAGCTCAAGCAGAGGCGGAGATAGCAAACTCATAAAAGAGGTTTCCAGTGTATCCAGCAGTTGCCTGTTATAGGCTGTATGGTGTGCTTGGACTAGTGTGATTAAAATAAATGCAAAGAAAATTGTGCTCAGGACATTCAGGCTAATGATACTAAGGATAGAGATAGAGTTCCTTTATTGCTGGAATTCCATAAGAGCTATTGGAAAGATGCCAATAATGGCCACATAGGAGCATCTATACTCCAAGACTAATACTGGGAAATTCTCATCCATAGCAGTGAATGTAAATCCTATGGGGTTTTTGCCTCTGCACCTTAAAGGTGGAATTTATGAGAGGTAACTGAGACCCAGATGTCCATCAGAGATTTGTATCTCCCAAGAATCCAAGAGTGTGGATCAAGGCTCAAATACCTACTGACAGAGTTCCAACAGTCACCCAAGACACCAAACACCAGCTACTTAAACTCTGCACCACCTCTGCTATAGGAACAAAAATTTCTTTAGCACTCCTCCAACTATTGCACCACAAACTGAGAGATAGGATGCTGAGAGCTACTACAACTAACTTTGGCTCCTAACCACCATGACTGACAGCTAATTGAGGAACACAAAAATGTCAGATGTCATAGCCTCCAGATCTTTGCCCAAGGGTTGCAGAGTAAAAAAAATAAAAATATGAAGAACGAAAATCCAACTTTTTCTATAATTGTGATCATTACCTCAACTAAGATAAGCCCTTTATTTCTCATTAAGGATTTTTAGCTTTCTTTCTTTCCCCCACGCAATACTCAACCCCATATTTTTACCTTTTTTAATTTATAAATTTTTCAAACATTATTTCATTATATTTTATAACTGTCTTACTTTCTTGTGTGTGTTCTCATTATGGGAATAGGTTAGGAAATATATATATATGTGTATATATATAAATTTATGTCACGAGCTGTCTGTGGGCTGTGTGTGGACTTGGTCGGTATTGCAGCCTAGTTAATAGGAACATCTGATGTCTGGGAACTTCCAGTGGACATTTCCAATGTAAAAGACTGCCCAGAAACATTGTGAATTCCTATTTTGCTCTTCCATGTCACACATAGCACCTGGGATAGGTGTGACCTGCCAAGATTCCAATCAACCTGCGGATTGTACATCACAAAGCAAAACTCCACCCTTGAAACCTTCCTGTCTTTGATGTACTCCCTTAAATAAACCACTGGAGCCATTTTATTTTGTCTAGTTCCAGCTCTTGCATGGACTGGATACATCAGGGGCTGTGTTTTTGAAAATATATTTCTGACTCTTTGTTTTTTGTTCTTCACTAATTACTCTAGACTCTAATTTCTCAGGTGGTTTACACCCTCCTTGGCAGGAAGAAGAACCCATTAATGAGATGCTGGCCATCACCCCATAAATTCATATATATATATATTATTGTTTCATTCTTCACTGGGTTTGACTTAGGTGGGGTATAATTATAAGTGAATTTGAGCTGTTTTGTTCTTACATTTGGCTGTTTGTTTCTACCTTGTGTTTTGTCTCTCTTATTGCCCATACATCACTCTTTCTCCAAATAATAAGCAAAGTTAATGTTTCCTCTTCTTTTCTTTATTAATTTGTTATTTTTATCCCTACTTTATAACCATCATCTGCTATCTATCTCCTGCCTTTCCTTTGTTAAATTTTTTAATATTTCAAAATTTCTTTTGCTCCTACCCTATCTTCTCTTCATTAAGAAACTGCAATCCTGGAGATCGGAGATCTGGGGAAAAGCCTGCCCTCCACATTGCAGCCTGGAGAACCAGAGAAAGGCCCTATTCATCAAAAGAAACCATCAGAGGGCCTACAGAATGGGAGCAGATCTTTACCACAAGCACATCAGACAGAGCACTAATCTCTAGGATATATAAAACACTAAAAAATCCTAACACCAAAAACCCAAATAACCCAATCAGTAAAAGGGCCAAGGAACTGAACCAACACTTCTCAGAAGAGGATATACAATCACTCAACAAACATGAAAAAATGGTCAACATTTCTAGCAATTAGAGAAATGCAAACCAAAACTACTCTAAGATTTCATCTCACTCCAGTCAGAATTGCAGCTATCAAGAATACAAACAATAATAAGTGTTGGCGAGAATGTGGGGGAAAAAGCACTCTCACATGTTGCTGGTGGGACTGCAAACTGGTGCAGCCAATCTGGAAAGCAGTATGGAGATTCCTTGGAAAACTTGGAATGGAACCACCATTTGACCCAGCTATTCCACTCCTCAGTTTATTCCTAAAGGTCTTAAAAACAGCATACAGGAATGATAGCTAAATTGTAGAACCATCCCTGATGCCCTTCAGTAGAAGAATGGATAGGGAAACTTTGGTATGTGTACACAATGGAACATTACTCAGCATTAAAAGAGAACAAAATCATGGCATTTGCAGTGCCTATATAGCACTGAGTGCCTATATTAAATAAATAGAGAAATCTCAAATATGCTTTCTCCACTTGAAAACCTCATAAAAATATGAACAAACTAATTCGAAAATCAGTATAGGACAGAAAATAATTAAGATTGAAACCAAAATGAATCAAATTGAGAATAACAAAAGTACATAAAAACAAAGCAAGTTGGTTCTTTGAGAAGAAAAATAAGATTGATAAACCCTTTACCCAACTAACCAACAGAAAGAAAAAACCCAAATCAACAAAATTATAAATAACAAAGGAGATATCACCACAGACACTTCTGAAATCCAGAGGATCATAGATAGGATTTTGAAAATTTGTACTCCAATAAATTGGAAAATCTAAAAGATACTGACAAATTTGGGGGCACATATTATCTTTCCAAATTGAACCAAAAAAGATGTACAAAATCTAAATAAACAAGTATTCAGGTAATGAAATTAAAACAGCAATTAAATGCCTTTCAAGAAAGAAAAGCCTAAAATATGATGGATTCTCAGCTTAGTTCTACCAAACCTTAAAGAAAAACTAACACAGTTCTTTCTTGTTGTTGTTCTCTTTAAAAAATCATATATGACAGTGGGATGTATTTTGACATAACATACATACATGGAGTATAACTTCCCATTCTTGTGATTGTACATAATGTGGAGTTACACTGGCCGAATATTCATATATGAACATAGAAAAGTTATATCCAATTAATTCTACTGTCTTTCCCATTCCAATCTCCCTCTTCCCTCATTATCCTATGTTCAATCCAGGGAGCTTCTTTTCTTCCCTCCCTTCCACCTATTGTGAGTCAGCATCAGCATTACAGAGAGAACATTTAGCCTTTGTTTTGGGGGGGATTGGCTTATTTCACTTACCATGATAGTCTCCAGTTTTATCCATTTACTGGTGAATGCCATAACTTCATTATTCTTTATGGCTGAACAATATTCCATCATGTGTATGTACCACATTTGCTTTCTCCTTTTATCTTTTGCAGGACACCTGAGCTATTTCTCTAGCTTGGTTATTATGAATTAAACTGCTATGAACATACTGTTAAATAAATTTGGCTTCTGTTTTTCTACTTTTTATCCTAGCATCAGATTTTCATTGGTTTAAAAATAAAACTTTAAATTTATAAAGTATTAAAAAAATAGACAAAATAAAATCAAAACCAACAAATAGAGAGGATTTGGCAACACTACCTCTGAATATGATTTGCTTGATGATAGAAATGTAGTCTTCAGGCTCCTGCTCTGTTGAGATTTCCCATGGGCTTCCAGAGATATTTAATAATTTATATAGCTGACTTGAGCTCTTCATTCCACAAAGCAGAGTAACAACACTTTCTGGTGAGTCAAGAACTTCTTCCAGAAACTGACGCTTCTTTGAAGTTAGGTCTTTAAGCAGGTCATTGGATAATATCAAAAGTTTACATTTGTAAGAGTTTAAGCTTAGCAATTCCAAATGCTGAAGAGAGAAACTGTCTAAGCAATATAACAGGATTGCTTCTCTTTTCACAACATGGAAAAATACTTCTCTCAAGTACACAGCCCATTCCTTAGCATCGTCTTCATATATTATCATGATGTCTTTTGCATTTCCTAGAAACAGAGAAAATAACGTATTATCTTTTAAAAATGCTAATAGCAGTCTATATTTGATTTATTTTTATAATCTGCCAATATATTCTTTAGGCAATATGATAATGTGCTTGTCCCTGAGTTTAATCCCTGGTACTCCCCCCCAAAAAAATATAGAATGTGGAAACTGATTTTGGGTAAACAAAATAACAATATCACCCTTCGTAGAATTTAGACTTTTTATAGAGCCAAAAGTTGAAATGTAATTTAAAAAATGACCTCATTCTCTCAATATTTCTTGTGTCATCATTTCTTCCTAAGCAATAATAAATAAGCTAAAAAATACTTGGAATGAAGACATTTTTATCAGAAAAGTAACATTTCCATCAATTTTACACAACAATAATTTTTCATTTGCAAGTAAGAATGAAGAGTATGATCTTATTTTTAATTAAAAATCATTCCCTTCTCTCTTTTCCAACTGGAACGAACCACGGAGGGTGCCAAAGAGAAGGAAAAGGAGGTTCATGCTGTGTCAGAAACCCTTAGGAAAAAGTGAAGGAATTAAAGAAGTTTGCCCAAAATCTGATTCAAAAGTCTTATTATTAAGCTTATCTATGAAAAAGCCAAGGAACATAGGCAGATGTACAGAGTGGAGATTTGAATGGTTAGGGTAACAAGATCATATGGCAACTTCTATGTACCTGCAGAACCCAAATTGGCACTGGTCATCAGAATCAACGATATCAATGGTGTGAGCCCAAAGGTTCATTAGGTGTTACAACTTCTTTACCTTCGACAGATCTTCAATGGCACCTTTGCTTAAGCTCAACAAGACTTCAATTAACATGCTCAGGATTGTGGAATCATATGCTGCATGGGGGTACCCAAACCTGAAGTTGGTGACTGCACTAATCTATAAGCGTGGATATGGCAAAATCAATAAGAAACAAATTGCCTTGGCAGAGAATGCTTTGATTGCTTGATCTCTTGGTAAATATAGCATCATCTGAAGGGAGGATCTGATTCATGAGATCTACATTGTTAGAAGATGCTTCAAAGAAGCAAATAACTCCTATGCCCTTTCAAATGATCTTCGCTAGGACATGGAATGAAGAAAAAGACCACCCATTTTGTAGAAGGTGGAAATGCTGGCCATAGGGGAAGATCAGATTCACAGGCTTATTAGAAGGATGATCTAAGGTATTTTTGTAATCTGGTTAGTTAATAAAACAATACCTGCTCTCAAAAATAAATAAATAAATAAATAAAATTTAAAAAAGCATTACTTGACTATCTACCCAAAGTAATTTCTAATTTACTTAGTTGTTAGCAATGGTTGTTTATGAGGGTGATGTAAGATTAAGATAGATTCTTAAGAAAATTACACAGGTAGTCTTTTTCAATACCCTAAAGTCACTTTTACTTATGTTGAAAATTGAGCCTTCTTTATACATTTATATTTGATTTATACTTTGTCAATGATCTCTATCTGGATATTGTTTATATTTTTAATAATGAATGTGTATCATTTTGCAAAACAAAATGATCACCTTTAAATGTCAGTTTGTATGGTATCAAAAGGATGGAAAGCAAGGTACTAAAAGTCTTGTAATCCACAATCCTGCTTTTCTCTGGGATTCAGGATATGTGTTCAGCACAACTGAGGCAGGGCAGTGAGCAGCTAATGATCTTGAGAACTTTTAAATTGTTATTGAATTACTGATTTTATGTATTTTTCTCTTTTCTCATCCTATAAGTATTTATCCAAAGGCAGATTATCTTTCAATTTTTTATTGATTCCTACCCTTTCCTACCATTATTTCCTGAACATATATTCAATAATTGTTTGAATACATTTATATGTAAAACATTAGAAATAAACATCTGGCAAAAATTGTGCAAGAATCATATGCAAGTTGCGTGTGAATCATCAGTACAATTCTGTCACTGTGTAGTCTCTCAGTTTGGAGGATAAATAGTCACTTGTTGAACAAACACAAATATCATGTCATAATTCAGTATTTTTATGTTTGAGTAAGAGTGGAGGAAAAGTTTTCTTTATATTAAATATAACCAGGATAAGCAGCTCCTCTATGGTTATAAAATTATCAGAGCAAAATTAAACTAGCAATAATAAAAATACTGAGCACGCTGAAACTAGGCCTATATGTGTTTTATACATTCTACTTCATTTAAGCCTCAAAATTACCTACTAAGTAGATACTAATATTTTCCCATTTTACAGATGGGAAAACTGACATCCTTCTACAATCAGAATTCCAGAGCAGTCTGGCTGCTCTACTGCCTATAATTCTAACAGCCAAGGACAGGGTAACATTATTTAAAAGATTAAGATAGATTCTTTGTAAAGATATGGGTTAGACACTCTTAAGCTGGTGATGGGGTGATCTTAAGGTATGTAAAGTGTGAGAAGGTTCCTGGGAGTCTGGTTTCCTGTCCAGGAAAAAGAGGAAGGAAAAGGAACATATGCCGCACCTGATGGGTATAGTTATCTAAGAACTCACAGAATTTACTTCTTGACTCTAATACTCAAATCAATAAAACACATAATAAGCTTTGAGGACATATTAAAGTTCAGAATGAGCACTCCTATTACTGGGTTAGGTATTGCAATAGGCTGATAAATATAAGAAATCCATTCTAGAGACCATCACAAACTGCCTCCAAAGCTTCTCAAGAAAATTACACACAGGTAGTCTTTTTCAATACCCTAAAGCCACTTTTACTGATGTTGAAAATTGAGCCTTCTTGATACATTTGTATTTGATTTATACTTTGTCAATAATCTCTATCTGGAAATTTTCAAAAGCCTCAAGATTGTCATTAAATGTCATTCCTTTCTTCTCTATAACTGAAATCATTTCAGTATATTCGTCTTCAATTTTCTGAATTACTATTTACTAATAATTCACATGTTGCTAAGCAGTTAATGTGTACTATCTCATTCATCCTCACAAATATGTATGGAGTTGGTCTTGGTATCCTTGATGTATTAGTGGTTACAGCAACCATCAGAGAAGTTAAGTAACTGTCACAGCCACAGAAGTAATCATTGATCTTCATGCCCCCTTCCATTCTTTTCATATGAAACCAAGTCCAGTCAAGATACAAAAGTTTAATACATAAACACCCCTCCCACCATTTTTTGTTTCAGTCCTGGGGATTGATCCCAGGATCTCTATCAGTGGCCTACATACCAACACTTTTTAAATTTTGAGACAGAGTCTTGTTAAATTGTCCAAGTTGGTCTCAAACTTGAAATCCTCCTGCATCAGCCTCCCCCAAAATCTGGGATTACAGGTATGCACCACCATGCCTGGCCTAGGGGCCCTTTCATAGACATTGTTTTCTTTTACCTTGGCCTAGGAAATAGAAACTTATACTTGAGTAATATCTAGCCTGTAGACCCACAGGTAGTTATGTATGAATTTTCAAAAGTAGCCTGTAGACTTGTAGTGCACTTTGTTTTATGCACTGAAGTAAATGAAGTCTAAATCATCATTCTTCTCTTTTAAGGAAGGTTACTATCATTAAGACTCACCAACTTTTATAAATGGTGAAAGAAAACAATAAATGATGAACCTGAAACATAGAAATACAAAATCTTCATTCCTGGAAAGCTACAGTATGATATTACAGTATGATAAAAGTACATTGCTCTTGAAGATTCAATTACGCTCAGCAAATAAATTATTAAAATGTAGATCTTCGGTCCAGCAACATAAAGTAAATGATGGCATTATAGGATGGTTTTACAGGAAAAGAATAGAGCAGTATTCATTTTTACATATTTACCATAAAGTGTTCTTTGAGATTCAATAGTATCTTATTTATTTATCTAACAAAATATTACAATGAATTTTTCTACTTGAAGGGAATTTGTATTAATAATCTATGTTAATAATTGCTTTTACATAGAAAAGAGATTATACCACATATCATTGTCAAGAGAATGAGGCTAAGCATAAACTAAAATCCTTCCTATTTTACATGCATAGCTTCAAATGGCAGATTTTCTTCTTCTTGAAAAAGATCCAATCTCATATCCATGTTTTGATTGCATATAATGGGAAAAGATTGCATGAAGCATATTTTCAATATTACATTTTTTCTACTGGTGACCAACAGAGAGAAGAAGAAAAAGTAAAAAATTATAAAAAATAAGTTACAGTCATAATGGAATCTATAATGACTACATGAACATTAATCTTGATAAAATTGCACACATATATCATTACTTAAATCACATAGTAAATATAGTTAAATTGGTTTTAGATCCCAAATTTGTAATATCATTTCTAGTATTAAGACAGAGAAACACACTTTAACTCACATTTCTTCTCCAGGAAAGCTGATTAATTTCATTTATTCATAGTGACAAAAAGTGCCGAGCCCTTCTTGTATGCTCTGTATGTATCTGTGTAGTGGGTGCTGCTGATGCGTATCCCAAGTCTTCACGGACCGCCAGCTATAACAACTTACCAAGCAGCTATCAAGGTCAGTTACCAAGCACACTATTCACATCTGCCCTCTGCCTTAGACTTTCTCTGATGCTGAGAGCTTCTTCAGCCTGTGCACCTGCCCAGCCACTCAGAAATGCTGGGAACTGAATGCACTGAGGGGTGACAGGTGACTTCAACTAATGAGGAATTGAAGCAATTGGGTAAATGACTGACCTTCTCCATTCTGTCATGGAACAGGTTTGTTCTACAGGTAACAGTGGTCCCAATGATATGGCATTATAATTGCTCATTGCATTATTCTGCTTATGAATAAACTCATCATTGGCTTTTGTGAGTGAGGAATTGTCTCAAAGTCCTCATGAGTGCATCATAGGCTTCCCTCCAAATAAAGTACCTAAACTCAAGTCCATTTCTCAGATTCTTTTCATTAGAATTCTCTGCACATGTCATTTAGTTCTTCCTTTCAAATATAGATAGCTGTAAAACAGAATTTTGAGATTATGCTTTTTAGCCATGGTGAGGAATGACCAGCAA